CCCCAGGGTGAAAAGGAAAATTCCAAAACTTTCATGAACATCTTCATAACACAACCAACCATCTCCCAAAAGATGATAAGGCTATTAGTACTGTGTGGAATGTAAGAGGAGTTTAGAGAACCAGTTGCGTACATAAAACGTCATTTTTAACCCTCATTTTGTCCCCCAGTGTGACAATCAAAATTCCGAAACCTTATGCACCAACCTTCTCCCAAAACATGATTAGGCTACTGTGTAAAATGTAAGATTGATTGATTGATTGTATTCTGTTTAACGTCCCTCTCCAGAATATTTCAATGATATTGAGACGTCATCATTGCCAGTGAAGGGCTACAAATTTAGGCCTATGCTCGGCACTTACGGCCTTTGAGCAGGGAGGGATCTTTATCGTGCCACACCTGCTGTGACACGGGGTCTCGGTTTATACGGTCTCATCCGAAGGACCGCCCCATTTAGTCGCCTTGTACGACAAGCAAGGGTATACTGAGGACTTATTCTAACCCGGATCCCCACGGGGAAGTAAAATGTAATAGAAAAATGTAAGAGGAATTCAGGGAACAAGGTGCATTTAAAAAAAAAAAGAAAAAAAAAAGATTTGACCCCGGGGTAAAAAATGAAAATTCCAAAACCCTACTTTTCATCTTCATGACACCACCAACATCTCCCAAACTATGATTAAGTAACTGTGTGAAATAAGGGAACCAGAAGCTATCTACAAAAAAACTCCCATTTGACCCCCAGCGTAAAAATGAAAATTCCGAAACCTTCCTGCAAATCTACATGACTCGAATACCAATCTTCTAAAAGTTGATAAGGCTCCTATGTAAAATGTAAGTGGAAGAAGCGTGAGCCCAATCCACTTCGTTTACTGGCTTACACTCTTGTTGTTGCTGTATTAAAAAGAAATCCTAGTTCATCACAAAACGTGATGAAAAATACCACTAGCTAACTTTTTTCCCTTTATAAAAATAGCTTACCTTGTAAGGTACATTATTTCGTAACATTTGAAAAAAAGGAAACAGACTGAATTAAGATGCTATGTCCTATTTAACAGGTTAGAGTTTAATTGTTTATGATTGGAGTAGTCTACCTATTGGATTTGTAAGAAACAAAATAGTTAGAATAATCAGCAAATCCACTGAACACTTCTCATAAATAGGCACTTTCAGACGGGTATACAGACCCTGAGACGTGCTACTACCCCACACGCTCGCTGCACGAACGGTACACGAACGCTACACGGTTTGCACGAAACGCTGCACGGTTTACACGAAACGCTACACGGTTTGCACCAAACGCTACAAGGTTTTCACGAAACGCTTTGCACGAAAGGCTGCACGGTTTACACGAAAGGCTGCACGAAACGCTTTGTACACGTTTCTCACACGCTTTGTACACGATTCTCGCACGTTTTGGCCTCGGTTTGGATTTTCTACTCGGAATATCTCGGACATTACGGTTTTATCATTTATTTAATGGAAATCTTTCACAAAGCCACATTTAGAAGCTGTTTAAATTAAAATCAGTACACTAGTATCATACAAACCGTTAGAAATATTTATTACTCTGACAGTTGTAATTAATTATTGAATAATTCGTTTCGTATTTATTTATTTATCCAAATGTTTAAAAACGAAATGCCGAAATCATGAGTCAATGTTTGATAAAATACAATTTTTATAAATTATAATTTATTACAATGTATTTCTTGCAATTAAATATTTTTACGAGTATAGTTCAATAAATTTATTTAAACAAAAATTCGATTTCTTACTGCGGAAATATGAACTCATTGATTTTAAATAATATTAATTATATTGTGTTTGATTTCCGTAGCCGGATTATTTTTCTTGATTTTGATTTAATTATAAAATTTGCCTATGTACTCTACTAACGATTATTGATACATTTTTAAAGATTTTTTTATCTTACGTAAGCATTATCTGTAGGACGGAAATCGGTAAGTGGAGGGGGGGGGGGGTAAATGTGATATCTTAATCTATTTTTATTATCTTTCTCTTTTTGCATGAAGCTTTTCAAATAACATCAGTTTACCCATTATACTGTAAAATTCTTCATTTCAAAACCCGACTAGATGTATGACTGTATATATGTGTACATTAATTAATAGTCGCGGCATTTAACTACACATTGTACATACAATGTAGATCGATCTTTACACGGCATTCAGGTATATTACAACAAAGCTGAAATATCTCAGATATAATATAAAGTACGTGATTTATAAAACAAATAATATACAATTATTAATGATTTACTCCTGAACTTTTCTTACATGGTATTCATGAAAGGACTACCAAATCAGTTCTCTTTATTTTACTGTTTACGGCTAAAAATTCAGATTAACAAAATGAATAAAAGACTAAATCCACTGATATATAAGTTGTACCCATTAAATCTTTTTAGAACAATTTTATTTGAAAAAAATAAAACCCAATCGTAATGTTCAGGTATCATTAAACCGTGAACTTCATATGTATATATATCAAAACCGGTTTTCAGTTGCATGCACTCGGAGCCCGTGATCGCTGTTGTAAATAACCTTGATCACAGCTGAAAGACGGAAAGAAGATTCATATATATTTTTAAGGGGTGTATCGGTGCACACATTTAACAAAGGATTAAAAAAAATAGAAAATTTAGCATTTATTCAAACTAATATTAGATTGAAAGTTACAACAAAAAATGAAAGACTGTACTAGTAATTTAATTTAATAGCCCCCCCCCTTTTCTATACATGTGGTCGTCTTGGCATGCGAATTAAAATTATTTGACAATAATGAGCAACATATTTTATGTATTAAAAGGTATTTAATGACACATCTTTTCAAAACTTTCTTTCACGTACGTTGAGTGTAAAGACAAGAGCGGAGACCTGATATATTTTTGCTTTAAATTAAAAATAAAATAAACCGGTATTTCTTTCTTTCTTTGAGAAAAAAAAAATTTAGGAAGCCATGATTGCGTTGATAGTATATTGAATTCAATGCCCTTAAAATTGTTGAACATAGTTGATTAATTTGAAAGCATTTTCTTTAGAAGAAAAAAAAAACAAATAAAAATATATCATACATTACCGTGTAATTTTGTTTTGTTGTTCCATTTATTGTACTCCAAAAATATTACATTCATAACTAATTCAATAATAAAATACTAATACAATTCGACATCCTAACCCATCCAATGCCATATTTAAAATGAAATGACTTCCGAATGAATCTTACACGATTCTTGCACGAAAGTCACACGTTTCTCACACGGGTCTTGCACGAAAGTCGCACGTTTCTCACACGCTTCTCGCACGCTCGCTACAGGGTTTGCACGAAACGCTTTGGAGCTTACACGAAACGCTTCACGGTTTACACGAAACGCTACACGGTTTGCACGAAACGCTGCACGGTTTACACGAAACGCTACACGGTTTGCACGAAACGGAAAGCGCACGAAAGTTACACGCTTTTTTGGGGTAGTAGCACGTCTCAGGGTCTGTATAAACCGTTCAATTTTGTTACACCCGATTGCATATTTGAAACTCGTGGCCGACATGTAGTATTCCTTTCGTGGTCTTAGGTTTTTTGCGTTTATTAATTTCCTCGTTTTTATGTGCATTTTCTGTTTGTAAATAATGTATTGACCTGTTTTTTTTTTTCATGTTACTTTTGTCCTGTTTTGGAAAAATACGTTCAATTTTATAATTTCATCACGACTGGGAAAAACGGGTGTGTAAGATGTACGTGTACAATCTTCAGATCTCTACAGTGAAATATATTGAACTGATCTGCTCTTTATATATGTTTTGTAGGGAGAACTATGCCTATTTTACGAGTAGTGTTCAGCTTTAAGTCTTGCTTGTCCATACACAAAGTTTTTATCAAAATGACGAAAATTGTCAATTGTCATTTGTAAAAATCTCAGGCTTAAAATTCAGAATAAAAGTTTATTTCGATCGAAGGTATAACATTTCCATTTAATCGAACAATCCAAGAAAAAGACTCGACGATAATTTCTTGTGACGTTTGGCACAAAATAATTGTGCCACCCTGTTTTGTAGAAGACAAATGACCTGAACAAGCAGTTAAGAAAAGCTAGCAAAAGTGTTAAACGCACATGTTCGTATAAAGATTCACAAAAAAATACATGTTAATATATGCATGAAAAAAGACTGAAGGACGTAAAGGCATCCCTTTTTATCAATAATATGACTATTAGATAATTAACTTGTGACATTTGGCTTGAAATAATTTGATAATTGTGCCAACCTTTTTGTAGAAGACAAATGAATTGAACAACCAAGTAAAGCTAGGAAAAAATGTTTCACGGATATGTTCGTATTAATATTCACAAAAAATACAGGTAGATAGTTGCATAAAAAAGACTGAAGTAAGTAAAGACATCCTTTTTTAATCAATAAAATGACAATTTCTTCTGCAAACTGTACTTCTTAAAATACAGGTTGATATTTCAGCATAAATCAATTTGGGCAAAACTCTAGCTGACTAAATATAGAAAAGTCATTATTAAACGGCCTAATGTTTGTGGCAATAAATATGTAAACCTGAAAAATAGAGGTTTTGAATCAGAGTTGCCAATAGTAACCCACTTCTGAATTTTCATATTTGATAAAAAATGAATGAAATGCATTTTTTAAAAATTGAATTTTCTTCCAACTTGTTTTTGCTTGATAAGACATTCTAAAATAAAAAATAAAATAAAAAAATAATTCGAAAATTAAAAATGAACATAAATGTAGAATTCTAGCTTCAAATCAATGATGATAATTTTTATTGTTTTCATGAGTGATGGACTTTTCAAATAAAACATACATAAGCCATGTGTGTTTTTGCACACCCTGAGTGTAAAATAATTAGAACTTAAGAAAACTGAAAAACCACATATTTTCACGGAGTCCAATTCGCTAAGTTTGGGAAAAAATATTTGTTTATTGTTACTAGTTTCTTCGCTATTATTTTGTAGTTTTCTCCATGACTCTAGACAATGAAAATTAAAACCCATGAAAATTAGTGAAATCACGTGCACAGTACTGCATTAGTAATGCAAACGATTAGAAAAAAACAATGTACTTTGAATTTCTTGGCATTTGTTTTTATTTTTAAATTCTTACGGACAGATAATACTTATAACTTCTTACACCTCGATCTCTTGGGACTATGTCTCTGCCATGTCACTATTCTTTTCATTTAATTTTTGTTTACATCCCTTTGTAGTACTAGACCCCAGTACTTGGACTCAAGTTAAACCCCCATGAAAACTTTTAAAATTATAATTATTAGTGGATTTCTGAAATTAATTCCAGTTCCTAATTAATTAAGCCTTAGTTTTTTTTATATTCTATGCACACGGATGTTTTACATACTATTTACTTAAAAAAATACAATCAACATCATGAATTAAAAAGAAAATATAAATCATTCTTTCCAGAAAAAAACTACAATATTTCACTTGACATAAAAAAATTGTTCTAATATATCGAAAAAAATCTATTGGTTAGAAATCACTCTTTTTCACAGATAAAAGTTTTCTCCGTTAAGCAACGATTATCATCCCAGAATCCATCTCGGCAAAATAGAGCACAATGTTGCCCTATTATATTCCCATTTTTGTCTTTAGTCAGGTAGTTATCAGGCTGATCTGTGTACCAATTTGTAAAATCGACTGCTATTCTGCGATTCCAAGTAAAATTGCCTTCCTTATCCACATCTGTTGCCCCAATCCAGGTCTTACAGCATTGAGACCACCTGGAACACTCCCCTAAAAATAACAAACCAATTGGGACAATTAACAAATGCATAAAACATGAATTAAACACGGCAGGATAACTTTTATTGACCTGTATGTGTGCCATATTAAAAAAAATATAATTAAAAAAATTATAATACATTTTGATTAAAGATCGCATGTGTCATGCGCCACCCCCCCCCCCCCCCCCCCCCCCCCCCCCCCCCCCCCCCCCCGCCCCCGCCCCGCCCCCACCCCAAATTAAATATCACTTCAAAGAGTATTTTACTTAGCTTAAAAAAGCATGAATTGCCGTCAATATACATGATTAGATTGTAAATAAAAGGAATGTAAGTAAATAAATAATAATTTTTTATAGTCGGGAGGAAAAGAATTCATGGCTGTAATATGCTGTAAATGTTGTGCTACTGAACAACACACACAAAAAATTATTAATTTCTTTTCTGCTGAAAAGCTTTAAAGTTTTATATATTTCCTTAAGAAATTTTTAAGACAATACATGTATAATAAATGACAAATTCATCCATCAAACTTTGTGTTTGCGTTACTTTAATATGGATGTGATATGGTCTACATAAATTTAGAAGTGTGTGCAAAAAACTAGCTTCAGTGAACTTGTAAAATTAGTTAAATTACACTGGAGAACATAAATATAATTCTTCCATAAATTGATCATACGATCTTTTTTATGAATATCATTGGGGCTTGCATATTGTAATTAAAAATATTTTTTAATAATAAATAAAATTATTCACTAAAACAATACTTTAAACAATCAAATAAACCCTCTTTGAAATATAAAAAAATCGATTTCATACCACTGCAGCCTCCCCGAGAACGAGAACAACAGGGACAGTAATTATCAGTAAATGTCAGCACTTGTCTAAGTTTTTCAGCAGGGACAGTAAACGGGTCAGTAAAAGTCTAAGTTTATCAGCACCGACTAAGATTATCAGCACCGGCAGTAAAATGGTCAGTAATCGTCTAAGTTTTTCAGTAAAGACAGCACATTGTCAGTAATTTTCTAAGTTTGTCAGTAAAAAATGGAATGTCAGTACATTTTGGACTTAGTAGTGCCAGCATGTCAGAGTTACATACAGTAGGCCCCGATACGGCTGCATAAAGCGCAGTGTAGAAAATAAATAATTTTTCCGTCACTAATCAGAATTGGATAGATACATCTTTGGTAAAAATATAAAGTTTGTTCTCGGCTGCGCTCTATATTATCTGGGGAAAAAAAGCAGTTTTATACAAAATATGCGAAAATGGCGAGAAAACGTGATTTTTATGATGTCATATTTCTAAAATAAAGGCATTTTGATCAATAAAAGTCGCATATATAGCTGTACAATTTTAAGCTATATATAAAGTAAAATTAAAATATTCATTTTAAGGGGCCAATTGAGATACTTACCATATATCGCTCTTAGTACATCCAAAAAACAAGGCAGCATTTTTTAATCGAACACGATACTTATATAGCAAGCATCATGGTGATGCTTATTGTGTGATGAAAGATGCCTACTACTTTATGTAAAGCAATATTTTAAAAAAAATAAAGTTATGCAAAATACATAATCCTAATAGTATCGTCTTTTTTGTGTGGAAGGTTATTATTCAATCAAACCAAATATCATCTTAATACACCGTTTTAAGATTATATAATTTTGGACAAAGGAAAGGAATCTTACTGTTATTCCAAGGTGAAATTAACGTTTCCAGAATCCATGTATTTTCTGCCATAGTCCCTACCTCTACAAGGTAGGCTTCATGAAGTTCACATTGCGCCTACAAGATTTTAAATTGGAAAATTGTACAGAAAAGTTTATCAAAAGTTTACTGATTTAAAAGAGTTATTCATTAGACAATTAAAATTTACACAACACAAAATTATTTTTCATAGTACCACAAAACTATTTTTACTTCATTAATTTTTTTATATGATTATATTTATATACATTCAGGTTTGTAAACTAGAATAATTATCTATGCACCCTTTGAAATTTGCATCTTTTCTTTTGAAAAGAGATTTAGAAGAGATTATATTGCAAGAAAAAGGAGAATTTTTTTCCCAAAAATGTTAAAATAAAATCTAATTCAAAGCATCTAATTTAAAGCATTTAAATTGATTTAAATTTTTTTTACAAGTCGCAAAATAATGAATAAACATATATTACTATTTTTTACCTGAGCATCGGTCCAATTCATCATTGTGTGGCTGAGAAAATAGCAATGTCCATTAAAGGGTACCCATCCGACAGGACAAACTGATAAAGAGATTTATTCTTTGTCATCGATTGAAATTATGTTTTATAAATTTTCATTTGAGAGAAAGTTCATAATAAAAATATTTTCAAATTTCTTAATATATGTAAGGAGTATGAACAGAAAATATAAGCCCTTAAGCGTAAGTTTTAGCAGGGGCAGTTGTATTTGAATACAAAAATATTTTCTACTTCCAGTAAAAGATGCTGTACAGAAAAATTATTTCTTAGTATCAGGGAGGTTTCCGCCTTTAAAAAAAATGTCGAAATGGTTTTCTCCAATTTACTTTGAATCTTTTATAACATTAATAACTAGTTATATCTTATCATGTCGATCAAATTAAAACTTTATTATGAATTTCAAGTTCAAATGAGAAGATTTATTTTCTAGTTGAAATCTGTAATAAATTTTCTAACATAACATCGTATCAGAGATTTTTTTAATTAAATTATTTCTTGAACAAACTACTTCCAACTTTTCAAAAGCTTTGACCAAAAATATTCTTATTCAAGGGAAGATTAAACTCAAAGTCATGATCCTATCATCTAAATAAATAACATATGAATATACTTTAAAAATACTTACAATTATTCTGAAACCAATATTCCCATCCAACTTCTGCACTTGTCCCGTTGATCGATAATTCAGTCAGGTAACATTTCAAGAGCTTACAAGACGATAATCTCTTGCTGTACAAGACAGCGACACATGCTGGATTTAGCACAAAGCATTGTATACCGCACTCTATCAGACCGACCCCTTCGTTAATCTTCATATAGTAAAGATTCTGGGCTGGTAAAGTGTTGTCAAAAGCAAAATTTCTTATCAGATGTCCTTCAGAGGTCAAAGAACACAGGAATTTTCTAAAGACGACCAGAGAAACACAGACAAGAACGCCAAATCTGATCATTTTCCTATACAGCTACAGCAAAACTCGCTTATTATGAAGTCGCTGGGACCTTTGAAATTACCTCGCTATATCCATAATTCGTTATAACCATACAAGAAATTCATTAAAATTATACAGATGGGGATCCAATATGATTTTGCTTTATCCGTGCATTCGCAATATCCGTGTTCGTACTAAACGAGTTTTACTGTAAGTAGCTAGACGTTTTGTTCAGTTCAGTTTACTTTTTGGTTCATGAAATTTCACTTTTGTTCTGAACTTCTAATAAAAAAAACAATAGTTGTACCTTTACGTATTTTTTTTTCTTCAAAAATATGAATGATTTAGCATCTAATTCCAACTCTGATACAGTCTTGTTGTTCCGCTCGAAATATATTTGTTCCAATGGACTTACGGACGTCGTCTCTTATTGTAAGTAATATTTATAGTTCATTGCAATTTAATAGCGCTCTTTAATACACACTTCTCGAGCAATTAAATATTAACATTGATACCATTGTCATTAGTTCCTTCGATCTGCATCTAAAGCATTAATAATTCAAACATATGAATATAATTGCTTATAACAGAAAAAATGTAATTAATTTCCTGGATTATTGAATGAAAGCATCCATGCACAAAGGACATTTAATAGAACACTAAATATTTTATTTCTAAAGTAGTTTTTTTTTCAAGATCACAATACAATTAAATGTTTGACGATTAGAGAGTTTAGAGGTATTACACAGCATTAAATTCGTGGATCAATATCGCAATCAATTTTTTAAGTCTATACGTATATTTCTCTTTCCATACCTAAATACCGTCCAATTAAGACACACACTCACAAAAGGTAGTATAACACCGGTACCAAAGCAGTCCCATAGAAGTCCTTCAGAGGCACCAGAGCAGTCTAATAGAAGTCCTTCAAAGGCACCAGAGCAGTCTAATAGAAGTCCTTTAGTGGAACCAAAGCAGTCACATAGAAGTCCTTCAGTGGAACCAAAGCAGTCTCATAGAAGTCCTTCAGTGGAACCAAAGCAGTCCTTTAGAAGTCCTCCAGTGGAACCAAAGCAGTCTAATAGAAGTCCTTTAGTAGTACCAAAGCAGTCACTAGAAGTCCTTCAGTAGTATCAAAGCAGTCTCATAGAAGTCCTTCATTAGTATAAAAGCAGTCTCATAGAAGTCCTTCAGTGGAACCAAAGCAGTAACTAGAAGTCCTTCAGTAGTATCAAAGCAGTCCCTTAGAAGTCCTTCAGTGGTACAAAGCAGTCACATAGAAGTCCTTCAGTAGTACCAAAGCAGTCACATAGAAGTCCTTTAGTAGTACCAAAGCAGTCACATAGAAGTCCTTTAGTAGTACCAAAGCAGTCCAATAGAAGTCCTTAAGTGGTACCAAAGCAGTCACATAGAAGTCCTTCAGTGGTACCAAAGCAGTCCCATAGAAGTCCTTTAGTAGTACCAAAGCAGTCCCATAGAAGTCCTTCAGAGGCACCAGATCAGTCCAATAGAAGTCCTTCAGTGGTACCAAAGCAATCCCATAGAAGTCCTTTAGTAGTACCAAAGCAGTCCCATAGAAGTCCTTCAGAGGCACCAGAGCAGTCTAATAGAAGTCCTTCAATGGAACCAAAGCAGTCCCATAGAAGTCCTTCAGTGGTACCAAAGCAATCCCATAGAAGTCCTTCAGTAGTACCAAAGCAGTCCCATAGAAGTCCTTTAGTAGTACCAAAGCAGTCCCATAGAAGTCCTTCAGTGGTACCAAAGCAGTCACATAGAAGTCCTTTAGTAGTACCAAAGCAGTCCAATAGAAGTCCTTCAGAGGTACCAATGCAGTCCCATAGAATTTCTTTAGTAGTATCAAAGCAGTTCAATAGAAGTCCTTCAGAGGTACCAATGCAGTCCAATAGAAGTCCTTTAGTAGTACCAAAGCAGTCCAATAGAAGTCCTTCAGAGGTACCAATGCAATCCCATAGAAGTCCTTTAGTAGTACCAAAGCAGTCTCATAGAAGTCCTTCAGTAGTATCAAAGCAGTCACATAGAAGTCCTTCAGTGGTACCAGAAAGAGTCGTAGTGGGCGCGATAATTCATAAAATGAACGGAGCTTTTCCGATCATTAATGAAATTGACATCCATTATGAACTTTAAGGCAGCTGACTTTTACACTGATAATAACTTGAAGAATTTATCACAATGCATCTGGTATAGGAATTGTACACCATTTTAAAACGTTTTGTCTCTCGTGGACTTTCTTTAAATCAAGTGCAGAGGCGTTTGGAACCTAGGGTGTTTTATATGATGTGTATAACTTTTTATTTATCGGTCAGACAATGCAGCTTTTGTTTCTCAAACATACTAAAAAGAAATCATAAATAAAGGAAAGTTTTCTATATTATAAATCGTGCTTAAACATTTTTAAAGTAAATAAATTGTGTTTGTTTACAGTTCGATAAATAATAAATTATTTCATAAAAAATCCACGAATAACTAATCAAATTGCTTATATAAAGGCGAAATGATAGAAAACTATATTTCATGACCGTTTAATAAATCATTGAATAGATTTTTAAGAGTTATAAGCAGCTTTGATTTTTGTTTTCCTAAACGTGGTATATTTTTAATTACTTGTAATTACTTGTAAAACTAGAGGTATTGTGAGCAATGAGCTCACTAAATGATAGCCCGCCTCCTATATGGTTAATATATCAAAGTCCATGTTTTGCTGTGGCCGAGAAAGCCAAAATTTGTGTCGGATCAAAAAGTAAAATAGAAGATGTATTATGACAGTATGTAATAAGGATTCTGTGCAAGGTTCATTAGATTTCACTCAGTGGTATAAGAGGAGTTGCGGATAAGAGATTGGTACCCCAAAGCATAACAGACAGACGGACGGACGGACGTACCGATTACAGTATACCCTCCCACTTTTCAAACAGGGGTATAATAACAGAGTATTTTGTTTCAAACATATGTGTTAAGAGAAATGCATGAAAGAAAACTTCATGGCATCTTTTTTTCTACAAGAACAACTTTTTGTATACTGGCGTAATTATCAACATTCCTTTTTCTGATTTATTTCATGCAGTTGCGCAAATTTACGCCTTCTGGATAATAAGTGGCATATAAGTAAGTCCCTGGCAATCCCAGTACTAGCGCGAACGAAATTACAATACTTATAATGGTTAAGGTAAATCGCAAGTTTACTGTCTGCCTGAATACATAGGCTAAAAATTTGTCAGCCAACTCCTCTCGTTTTAAATTTTTCTTACTGATTTTTTTTTAGATTCGTCTGAGTGGTTAGATTGTAATCGTATTTCAAATGTGCTAATGTTGATGAGAACAGGTTTCGCTTTTTCAATGAAATATATAGTAAAATGTCCATTTTCATTTTTTTTAATAAATCGATTCAAAATTTACTTCACATTCATTGCATCGAGTAATGTAAAATTTGTCTGCTTCGTTTGAATGTTCTCGCTCAATATCTTACAAAAAAACTTTAAAATTTTACAATTTTTCATCAAAAGTATTTTATTTTCATTATGATGTTATATTATGTTGGTGCGACGTCATTATTTTCGTATTCCGGCATAACTCGAAAACATTTAATTAATCATTTCACTCAAAATAAAGCATGCAATCCGTGAATTCAATCTCCCGATACAATCATTGCCATAGTTTACCAACAGCGTGGCACTATTTCAATGTCATGTGTTTTCTTTTTCTCGCAATAAACGTCAGGCTAGAGGTGCAGAAAAATTATAACAAAATGTACTTGAATGTAAGAGAAAAAAAATCTTACCGGATTTGAGAACATTTTCAAAATACATATTTTTGCATCATTTTTATCTATTAAGTACCAGTCCACATAAAAATCAGACAAAGGGTGATATATGAGGGTTCTCAGAATTTGATGATTTTTCACTCATAGATTTATTTTGAAGTATGAACAATGTATGTAAAATGAAAAATGTTTTGAGTCATGGTAACCATGGAAACCCGGCCAAAGAAATTTCCTTAGCAACCGGCGGATTTTTCAGTGTTGAAGGACAAAACATCACCTATCTTTGAGGCTTAAAATAACACGTAAATACCATGAGAATTATTCTTACT